GTATCTCAAAATATGTGTCCCTCATGCAAAGGTCAGCACTACAATTTATGAAAATAGTGTTATCCAATGATATGCTAGGTCAGGCAGTAATCTACCACCATCTAACCTAAATCTCTGACCACTTAGTTTCCAGCTCCTACTATTACAATGGAGCTATTTTACCAAATCATGTTACGTTAGTTTTCCTAATAACAGAGTTACATTAATTCACCAGTCATTTCCACTGTTCATCATGCTATGGTTGATTGTGTTTTTTTTTAACTTTTCTAAAAATTGAAACATTGGAGGATTTTAAGAGCAGTCTTGTAGGATCAAAGATGCATGTTCCTTCCATGATGCTCAAACATAAAACCATACAAAGTATGCCCTCATTGTTAACACTTCTACTAAACTCTATATATCATGGGTGTCAAACTTGATTGCATCATGTGACATATCCTGACTTTTTTGCCTTTGCAGAGCTGGGGTGGTCGTGGCCTATGCGTGATGCATCCGGCCCATGGGCCACCAGTTTCACAGGCCTGCTCTATAGTACATTATGAGATTAGGCTTTGGATTTTTCTGTTGTGGTGTTCTATGTTTATTTGTTTTTATTGGATGCATTGGATTTTATCTTTAAAGCAAACAAACGAAGATGGTTAGTTTGTTGTAAATGGCATAGTCGTTTAAATTTTGTATTGCCACAGTCAGTGAAGCCAATTTCTCCTCAGTCTCTCCTCAGTCAATTTTGAATTCCTCTTAGCTGTATCACTAGTAACCACTCAAGTTCAAAGATGGAAGTACGGATAGTTTTCCATTAATAACAGTAATTGGGACTGCAAACTCTGTTGCTAAGCAACACAGGCGTAAAGCGAGAAAGCATACGGTGCCAATTTATTATGTTATTTCCGGCAGTTCCTATCATTAAGCAAATTTCATGTAGTCATTAAGCAAAATGACGTGACTATGACTTGCAATTTCCTGCCAGCTTTCCCATTGATTTTGCCTATCAGAAGCTGGCAGTGAATGTTGCAAATGGTAATCACATGACCATGGGACTATGCGACTTCATAAATGTACACTGGTTGCCAAGGTCCCAAATTGTGACCTGGTAACTGGGGGGGTTCTGCAACAGGCAGAACTTCAAGGACTGGCTGTAAATCTCCTAATTCAGCACCATCATCACTTCAAACATTTACTGAACAAATGATTGTCCAAGTTAGCTTGTGTCACTAAGCTGCCCAAAGTTTAGCCTCTGATTCAGGTTAGGAAATGAACCCTTCCTCATCATGCTTTCAAGGAAGATGCAATTGCCTCCTCCTGCTCAAATTAAGTTTGTCTCCTGATCCAACAGCTCCTCTTTGCAGGTTAAAGAAGTAGCCATGCAGATCTTTTTAAAAACATTTTCCATTCAGGTCAGGCAAATAAAGATTTAGAAATTTGGTTAACAAATGGATATTTGAAGTTGCGTTTCTATGTGACTAGATTTACCACAATGGGAATTTACCATAGCCAATTTTGAGTGGTGGTAATAGTGATTGTGTTCCATGTAGTATTCCAACACAAATAAACACAAAGCAGAATACAGATACAAATGCAGAAGTGCATATTATACTGTTAAAGATGTAAGCAAGGGATGGGATGTCCAGATAGGTAAGCATTTTGTAAGGGGTTGTTATTTTTAGGGACGTTTGTTTAGAAGTACATGCTAAAATCTTCAGGGATAATTTTAAAAACAAGTACACTTTATATTCATATTCTTGAAGCTGTGTATTCACTTGTATATAAAAAGAATTCTGGTCTCTGTCTTCTTGTCAACATCAAACAATTCTCTGATATGCAAATTTCAGCTATAGGGACAACAGTTCACAGAATTTGTTTGGATTCAATCCAGGTCTCAGCAATGGCACCATTCAGGGAACTGGCATTTAATTGCCTCATTTGAGCTTTTAAAAATTGTAAAAGGAAATGATATTAAAATAAATATAAAATACTTTTAAATATTTTATGGTGCTGCTTGTCTTAAGGAAAATGCAGCCATAATATCACTCTTTTGCTCTCTCAAATGGCAACTGAGGGGTAAAAAAAACAAGTTACAGGATTGAACCTTCTGCCTTCCTGTTTCTATTGCATAAAACTTTCTCCCTACTGCTCTTTCTTTTACCCACTAATAAATGTTTCATTTGTCACGAGCCAAGCTAACGAGATTTGCTTTCAAAGCTAATTTGATCAAACCATCAATAATACCTGTATTCAGATCTGGATTATGATCAAAGCCTGGTTTATTTAATTGGTTAAGAAAGAAATTGATGGGCCGGAATGAAAACTTCCTGAGGGTATTTTTTAAGATATTTTTTGCTTTATTATTATTATAAATAAAAATTATAAATAAAATTTTTATTTTTATTATAAATAAAAAGGGACGTGGTGATTCTGGCTAAGATGCTGAGCTTGTCGATCAAAAGGTTGGCAGTTCAGTGATTCGAATCCCTAGTGCTGCTTAACGGGGTGAGCTCCCGTTACTTGTCCCAGCTTCTGCCAACCTAGCAGTTCGAAAGCACGTAAAAAATGCAAGTAGAAAAATAGGGACCACCTTTGGTGGGAAGGTAAAAGCATTATGTGCGCCTTTGGTGTTTAGTCATGCCGGCCACATGACCACGGAGACGTCTTCAGACAGCACTGGCTCTTTGGCTTTGAAACGAAGATGAACACCGCTCTTTAGAGTTGGGAATGACTAGCACATATGTGCGAGGGGGAACCTTTACCTTTTTAATATTATAAATAAAGCGGCAAACATACATAATACTCCTTTCTCCTATTTTCATCACAACAACAGCCCCATGAGGTAAATTGGGCTGAGAGAGAGTGTCTGGCTTAAAGTCACCCAGTTGACTTTCATACCTAAGGCAGAATCTGAACTCAAAGTCTCCTGGTGCCTCAACCACTAGACCAAACTGACTAGTGAAGCAAGAGGGCCCAAAATGCAATCCTTAGATTGCTTTTCTATCACGCTCTGGCCTGTACCAGGTGCAGGGAAAAGGAAACTACAATGAATAAAAACAATTCAAGGTTCTTTGTTGTGCCTCTTAGTAAATATTGAAGTCACAGAAAGCAGAGTGGAATGGCTTAAATAATGGATTAGACATGAACATCCAGCAGTTCCAAGCAATCAAGTATCCTCATGATTCTTATAGATTCTTACAAAAGTTTTTGGAATAAATCACTTAATACTGGAATAATATTTGCTGAAATGCTGTTACTGAAGATCTAAGCTAAGTTATGATCAGATAGTCTCAACTCCCATCCTTCCACTTTCAGTTTTTTCTCCGTTGGCACTTTCCTAATGGAAAATTTGAGGAAAATATTTGTCATATACTTTTCTGTGACCTTCTGAATTATGAATCGCAAAACTTCTTTAGTTTCAGTTTCAGATGGGCTTCCCAAATACTCCTACTTTAGTTTAATTTTTTTGAGTTAAGTTGATCTTTCACCATTTAATGTCTCTCATTCACTTCCTTAATATATGTGTACACACACACACACACACACACACACACACACATACATCCTGTACATATGTAAATGAACATACATATGGCCAAAGTAGGTGCACTTTAAATATTATCTAATGAGAATCATTTTGGTATTTGTATACAGATAGACTCAATTGCATTTTTCTTTCAGCCTAAGCTGTTTCTTCAGGGATGTTGAGAGGAAAATATTGGAGCAAACCCATGTATATTTCTTGATGGAAGGGCAATATATATTTTAAATAGAATAGAATAGAATTCTTTACTGGCCAAGTGTGATTGGACACACAAGGAATTTGTCTTTGGTGCATATGCTCTCAATGTACATAAAAAGACAAGATACACTCGTCAAGAATCAGAAGACACAACACCCAGTGACAGTCATACGGTACAATAAGCAATCAAATCATACTAGGAAACCATCAATATCAATATAAATCGCAAGGCTACAAGCAACAAAGTTACAATCATGCAGTCACAAGTGGGAGGAGATGGACGACAGGAACGATGAGAAAACCAATAGCAATAGTAATACAGCCTAATGTGAATAGTTTGACAGTATTGAAGGAATTATTATATATAAATATATATAAAACAAAAAAGAATTGGGACAACACTGGCTAGACTTAAATTACAGTGTAGATTAAATCATGGTTTATGAGCAGAGGTGGGTTTCAGCAGGTTCTGACCAGTTCTGGAGAACCGGTAGTAGAAATTTTGAGTAGTTCAGAGAACTGGTAGTAAAAATGACTGGCCCCGCCCCCATCTATTTTCTGCCTCCCAAGTTCCAGCTGATCGGGAGGAAATGGGGATTTTGCAGTAACCTTCCCCTGGAGTGGGGTGGGAATGGAGATTTTACAGTATCCTTCCCCTGCCATGCCCACCAAGCCACACCCACCAAGCAATGCCACGCCCACCAAGCACGCCCACAGAACCAGTAGTAAAATTTTTGAAACCCACTACTGTTTATGACGCTATGTAATCTCAATGATTATTAAGATTAACTGCAATTTAAGTTTCAGAAACAATGTTAAATTATGACTAATTAAACAATTGAAACAGGAACTTATTTCTTACATGCTGCTGTTCTGAAGAATGCAGGAAGAGACTGTGCGAGCCTATGTCATTCATATTATTCTAAGCCATGATCTAATATCTAATTATATTCATTAGAATCAGGAAGAAGAGAGACATAATCAAATGAGGGTTTATCACCTGTGAAAGTAAGGGTTCAGTTTGTTATACATAAGTTCCCAGTCTCATTTGGACCTATCAGACTTTTCCTTTGGTCCAAGCTGTTTTCCTGAATACTTGTTCTTTTCATCCAGAGCGCATCCTGAGGAACTATCTCTTTGTTAAACATGGTCCTCCCTCCTCAGCTGTGTTAATGATTTCTCGATTGAAAAGCTGAAGGCTTGTTCATTTTAATAATCTTCTGCATCATTACTGAATATCAAATCCAGATTGTAGTATTATTTTATTATTTCAAAGCATTTTAAGAAGCAGAAGAGGCTGATCCCGGAAAGGACAGTTTGGAAATATTTTGTTCAGCTGTGCAGTGCCTTGGAACATATGCATTCCCGGCGTGTCATGCATCGAGGTAATAAATTGCATTTCATCCCAACTATGTTGTACAAATGTAGGGACTACAGTATATATTACATGAGCTACAAAGACAAGTGATGGCCTCTTCCAGTTGTTCTTATCTGTTAAAATAGGCAACTAAAAGACATTTTTATGTATGTAATTTTTTAAAAAACCATTAACGTATTTTCTATTCTCTAGTTATATTTTGTTTAATTTTTTAATGAGATTTTTGGCTGCCCCAATCAGTTACAAACATGTATGTCTATGTGTATATAATATCATTTGACTTAAAATAAGTAATCTACATTCAAATGCATGCTGTTTTATGTATGGTAGATTCTTATTTTTATGTATCTTGAAGATTTGTACCCTGCCTTTTGATTACATGGGGCGACCTATACAAAACAGGTAACACTTCCAAAACTGAAACATTTCAGTCTGTGCAAATATATGTATTCATACAAAATCCAATAGCCCTTTTGATGGTATCTGTGGCTAGTGGATGGAGGCCAGATTATCGCTCTTAAACCAACAGCCTGCATTTAGATCAAACTTTTCTTTTTTGCAGGAAGAAGGGAAGCATACTTCCTGTAATTGCTCGATCACTGGCCATAGATGCAGCAAATTTTGTCTTTACCTTGTCATTGGTGCCCTGAATGGAGACAGAAAAGTCATTATTATTATTTATCTTATTATTTCTTAGGGATTGCTCTTGTATAGAAATTTCATCTAAATCATCATGGTTGTGAACAGTTTTATCCTGGTAGTTAAGGTAACTGTCATCAAGGACAGAAGTTTGATGAGAGTCAAGTCATAATAACTTATTAACATATCTGGAAAGTGTGATATAGTCGCAGTGACTGAATAAGTAGGACTTCCTCTCCAACCTAGAATAGGGCTTCAAATGGACTGATTTTGCAAAATTTGTTTGGAATTTTTCACCATTTTTTAATTTCAGTTCTTTCTGTTTCTTGGATAACTAGAAGGATATGAAGTCCAGCCAATGAAATAAGAGTATCTTGTAATGAATATGTATTAAATATGCATATTTCACCCTTTGCCATTAAGTTTGTTTGTTTATAAAATTGTATAATTTTATAATTATACATAATTATAATTTGCACATAAGAGCAAATAATTTCTGACAGCAAGACGTGTACATACTGGTGAGGTTGAAAATCACTGAGGTGGATCCAGAGTAGCTTAGTTAAATTCATTTGCCTCTGACATTAACAAGATGATCTCATTATGATTTAACATTGTATAGAAACTAAATTAAACCAATTTAGTCTAAATCCTGTTTTATAACTAAGGTAGCTTTCAGACAGGTGTCTCAAGAGAAGAATTCCATATTTGGACATAAGCAAATCAGAACATGTTCAGAACATGACAGAAAGATCAAAGGTAATTTGAGTGGACAATTAAATAATAGCGAAAACTATACAGTTGCATAATCTGGTCTCAAAATGAGTTAAGCTCAGGGGTGGGTTCTACTTACCTTTACTACCGGTTCGCATTGTGCCCGCACGCATGTGCAGATCACTTATAATGACATCCAGGTCAGTGGGCGGAGCCTCCCTCTGGTTTTACTACCGGTTCAATAGAACCGGTCCGAACCGGGGGCAACCCACCACTGGTTAAGCTATTATATCAACTCTTGCATAAACTTTTTATTTGAACATTTAGAAACATAGCTTTCATTAATAATTAAATATTTGTCCAAATAAATTTGGAAATGTCCCAAAACATTCAGGGAATGAATTATGTTACTAGGTATATTATCATGACTATTCTTATAATCATCATGAAACTGATACATGGTTAGTAAAGTCATTGTTACCACCCATAGAGCATCATGTTGTCACTATCTATGAAACTAAACAGAACTATGGAATTCAGTTCATTTCTTTACAGAAGCAAGTCATCTTGAATTCATAGCATTTATTCCCTAAAAAGTCGAGAAAGGATTTCAGCCTAAAATTAGTGCAGGGATAAACACATTTATTTTAATTAGTAACTTGCATGTTAAATTCAACTGTACTTAAAGTTTGAATATTACTTGTCACAGATATAATTTAGATATATAAATGCTCATAATTTTTAGATACTTGTATCCCATCTTTATGGTTTTTATAAATAACCCAAGGCAGTGAACATATTATCTAATAGTCCTTCCTCCTCCTATTTTCCCCATAACAACAAATCCTGTGTAACGGTCTGGGCTGAGAGAGACTGGCTCAAATTTACCCACCTGACTTTTTATGCCTAAAGCGGGACTAGAATTCACACTCCTGGTTTCTAGCTTGGTATCTTAACCACCAGATGAAACAAATAATTTGATCAAACAATAATACTTAATATAATATTTAATAATCTTTTCTATTAAAGGTATAGTATTATACATACTTTGTTTCTTCTTATAGACATCAAGCCAGCAAACGTATTCATTACTGCTACAGGAGTAGTAAAACTTGGAGATCTTGGATTGGGAAGATTTTTCAGTTCTAAAACCACAGCTGCACATTCTCTAGGTGAGAAAAATTTCTTTGTATAATTAAAAGTGGAAGTTAATGATATATATCTAGAGTACTGTATATGCAGCAAACTTTTTATTTGATGTATTTTTAATTAAAAGAATTTCAGCTGTATGCTGATATAGATTAAAATATGTTTAATAAATAAATTTCATTTCTATGGATTGAAAAATGCTCATTCAAAATTAAGCTGTTTTTGTTATGACTGATTTTGATGACACTTGTTGAATGGAATTTTAATAGATTACTTTACAAAACAATGTACTGTAGTTTTTCAAATGTGTCAGTCTTTGTTTTTGGTTTGAATGCTTGATTAATGCAGCCTATGGTAGAAACTTACTACTTCTACAAGAAATGTGTTTATTTGTGCAGTGAGATTCAAAGCAAGAAGAGATCGTCTTTTGTCAAGATTTCTCGCTATTACCCTATATACAAGTAATTTCACAGGACAGTTCACTTAGCAATCGTTCAACGTTGCAACATAATCCCCCCAAGTACTTATGGCACAGTCCCGAGGTTATGAATGTTGCAGCACCATGGCAGTCATTCATCCTTATAAACAACCAGAGGCACAGCAAAATTCACCCTGCCTATCTCCCCCACCCCCATCAACAACCCCCCCCACTTAACTTGCAAAGATCTAGTGAGCTGTCTCCTCTCCAGTCTGCACTCCAAAAGTGGAGCATTGAGAGCAGAGGGAAAACAGAACGAGCTTCTCTTACTCACCGAGGCTACCTGTCACTTCTGGAGCAGTAGGCAGCTTCAGTGAGTCTCCTCCAAAGGCTCCCAATCTGGGAGCAAAAAAGCGTTTGGATGCCGATGGAAGGCTTTGGGGCAGTGAAATCGCGTTGCTTCAAGCCTCCTGTTGGCATGCAAACACTTTTCACGCGCAGGCTGGAAGCTTCTGGATGCCCTGATCTCATAGGACTTCAGGCACCCATTCTCTGCAAAAGCGGATGGGTGCCTGAAGTCGCGTGAGATCAGGGCCCCCAGAAGCTTCCAATCTCCAAGCGAAAAGTGTTTGAGCGCTGATAGGGTGCTTTGAGGCGGCTCCATTTCACCACCTCAAAGCGCCCCATCGGCATGCAAACAAAGCTTCCAGTCTTCGGCCAATGTTTGAGTGCCAATGGGGCGCTTTGAGTTAAATTCTGCAAAATCTTATTTGTGTATTATCAATATCATAATTCCTTTAATGCAGTAATAGGTTTTGGAGAATGATTGGTTAAAAAGGTATTTTTGTTTTTGATAAAGTACGACCCTGTAAACCTCATTGTTAGGCTGAGCTTTGCCAAGTTTTTTTCTCAGCAATTCTTTTAAACTGAAATCAGAATTACTTTTTTTTCTTCCTCTGAAGCAATATGCATGATTAGATTTAATCAGAACACAACAGCTTAGTTGGACAATTCATCAGTAGAGATGTATTGGATTAGGTGGCCTTTTCAAAATGCTAAATCTTAAATTCCAACAGATTGTTTAAATTTCTGAGCTCCTTTGTTGGGGAATTTTTGACACAGCATTTTGACACAAAAATATGAAAGGATTTGAAATAGCTAGGAGGCCTACGTCTTTTTGATCTGCTGAATGTGACAGCTTCTTATCATTTAGTGAATCAGTTTAAGTCAGAACCCTGATTTTAGTATTGATGAGCATGAGCATGTTGACTCCTGTTTGTCTACTTTCATATATGAGACCTTGCTCAGAAGAAAAAATGTCAGAGTTTAGGCAGCGTGACTAGTATTATGAGATAAACCCAGGAACAAAACACAGCACACAGCACACAGAGCCTTTAGATAATTTAGATAATTAACAGTGGTTTTATCTACAGCTAAATATATACAGACTTATATGTGGTAAATACCTTACCATACTGACACAAGGAAAGCAATGAGATACACGACGAGCGAGAACATGAGAAGGGAGTCGCCCTCTAATAGCTTCCCTTATATAGACAGTTTCTTACTCAGCTACCTCATTCCCATTGCATCAGTTTACAGTTGCTGCCGCTTACAACCTTCCATCAGCTTACAGCAATTAAGTCTACATACCCTGGCAAAAAATATGGTGTCTGCTTAGTTGTAGCTCAGAGGAGAGTTTTGTACTATGTTGGTGAACCAGAAAAGACATGCAGATAGACCTGATTTACACAAATAGTGTAGTGGACAATTTCTACTTCACAACATTTGAGTCATATCCACCAGGACACTAGGAGACTCAGTCTAGGAATCACTTGGGTTAGGTTTTCAGCCACAAAACCATTCAGGAGCTGCTCTCCATGTGCCTTATCCATCCATCTGTGGTCCCTTCTTCCAAAAATGCTTGTCCCTTCATTGATTGCCAGCAGTCATTGATTCACCTGGATCAAGCAGAGTGTATTGGACCTGAGACTGCTCTGAGAGTAGTCTTACTACACAAAAATTTTTCTGGAGAGCAGTTTCCAGTCCAGACATAAGGAAATTACTTTAGTTGCAACTTCTTGCTTACCTGGAAAGAAAAAGTATGGTATTTATGCTATATTGAAATCCACATAAATAACCATTAGGTAAATGCGAAAGTTTATATCTACACTACAATATCATGCTTCACAGAAGTGCTGCTAATGTTGAAACTTTAGATAATAAATTCTTATTGCAAATAATAGACTAATTGATTTGGTTTGTTTGCAATTTATATTCAGAGTATATTTTTGTATTTTGTTTTTAAAATGCATTTAAATTAAAGGTTCTACTGTGTTGGGTGGTTGGCTTATTGATCCTTCACCTGTGTATAATGAGGTCACGTGTAATTAAGAGGGTATTTAAGAATGCAGAGGCAAAAATGTTAACTTCATTTGTTCGGTTTTGGTGAGGTAGGTTTTTTCCTCTTAATGTGCGTTTTTACTTTGTGTGAGGTTGTCGCTTGTGAAAAAGGTCCTAAAATTGCAGTTTCTATTACATAATATGAGTATTTGCTATAAGGCTGTGACATGAAAAGCAAAGGAAAAAAGTTTATTCTAAAGTTACCATTGTTTTTTACAACTAGAATATTTGACATTTTTCAAGATACTGTACATTCCAAGTTATGTTCGGTGGCAATGTTTTGATTTGAAATGTTTTCATACTTATTTAAAAACAAATTTCATCAGTTATCAATTTGGAAATATAAATAATTTCTAATACATTTGATCTTATGTAGAAATAAAATTTAGGTACATAGTTATCAGTAGTGGTATTCACTTACCTTCTCTACAGGTTCGCAAATGTGAGTGCACATGCTCACTTCGCTCACGTGCACCACCTCTGCACATGCGCAGAATGTCCGTGATGATGTCTGGGCAGGTGGGCAGAGCCTCCCACCGCCGCCACTACTGGTTCGCCTGAACCAAGTAGAACTGGTAGAATCCCACCACTGATAGTTCTACAGATATATACAAAATTATTTCTGAAACTGGGATAATGAATCACATGCTTTATAAGAGACTTTATTCATGTTACTATCCCATATGAAATATCTCTTAGAACAGGATGACATATGCCTTACTAAATTTTTCTGTCTTTTTTATGTTTTTTCATTTCTGTTTCTATTAACTACAGTTGATTATTATTTTATGAATTGGCAAATATTAGAATGTTTTAAAAGTAATTATAGATAGACATACAGATCCCCATGCCCATAAACCCACACTTTTAGGAAAAAGTCTTTAAAAAAAAATTTGCCTTAATAACATGAGGATGCCATTTCCTTTTAAAAGATGTATTGATTATCTTTAAAACAACATTTTTCTGCTTATTTTAAATAATGTAAAGATGGAATTAGAAGTTGGCTGTGCTTTTAAGACAGGATGTAGATATACCAAAATCTTGTTTAGCGAGTTTCAGTCAGTGAAGGAAATAAAAATAAATAGGAAACCCTTGTAGTTATAAAACCAATATATGTTTTTATTTAATAAATGCTGCATAAATAAACATATTCATATAGAATTCTATCAGTCTATCAGATTGACAACATTAGTAATGTTAATATAATATTAAATTACTAAATTGCTAAAAAATTGGTTTATTGATAATTATGGAACTGCTACTTTTTAAATAGGTTATCATGAAATTAATTTCATAAAACAATGCTTAAATTATTTGGAATAATTTTTCACTTACTGAACTTTACTCTTTTGCATTTAAATATTGAATAGTAATTTTTCAAGACAAATGTTGGAATATACATTGCTTGAAGTTGATTTATTTTTTTGTTTATTATGTATTTATATTTTTTGTAGTGGGAACACCTTATTATATGTCTCCAGAAAGAATCCATGAAAATGGATATAACTTCAAATCAGATATCTGGTCTCTAGGATGTCTGTTATATGAGGTAATACTGACAATTTTTAATGAGCATAGTTTGTTGATATGTTCTGTTGATCAGTGTTTTTCTACTTGTGTTATGATTTTATTGAATATTAATTTCATAAATTAGTACTATCTGAAAGCAAAGAATTCTGACATGTTACAGATAATATGTGGTGAAATTTGCACATTTGCCTTAGCTCAAAATAAAAGAGAATGTAATACAAATATTTGTAAAATTTGGGGTATATACTTCTCAAAATAATCTCTTTCAAGATCTTCATTTTTCAGTATCAAGGTTAACAGCCAAGGTGGCAATTTGAAATTGAAAACATTATCTTCACATGAAATGGACCTATCAAGGGCATACTCCCGTCAACACTTGTCATATCATCTATTATTTCTTTAATTATTAAACTTTTGTTTTCTGAATCTTAAACTTTATCTTTAAACTTTGCTAAATCGGATTATCGCATAGGAAACTAGTATTCTGTCCTTTTTATATGGTATATCAGCAACTGTCTATTTGTATATAACCGACTAAACACAATGCCATTAATACTTTAATACAGAGGTAAAGGATCTATAGAAAAATAATATCAGGAAAAGATATTCCTTCATTTGGTTTGTTTATACCAGTTGTAATTCTAGCTTGTAAAATGTTAATTATAATGAGATCAGCAAGATAACCAAATTCTACCAAAGCCTTCTGGATGTTTATAACAAGTTCTAAAAAGTTTACCCATTGGCTTGCAGTCTTTCACTCAAATGCTCTCTAGAAAAGTTTCTGTCATACAGATGCAAGGTGAAGTGGCAAACCACTTTCACTGCAGCTCAGCAGAATTCACCAAAGCTCTCTATCAAAGGGGATAAAAAACCCTACAATATTAGGATTTTCTGAGTACTATAACAAAGTTTTCTTTAAACAAAACAAAACAATTCAGTGCTAAAATTATTATTTTCTCTCAGATTCATTTATTCAGAAACCACTATTTGGTCTAGATTAGTGCTATATATAATTGCTTACCTCAACAACCACTTGATGACTGAATTATAAAAGAAATAAACATTTAATGAGATCATTCTTTTGGAGATTTATTAGCAATTATATCTTAAACTGGGATTTTTTTTTTAAAAAAATTTTTCTGTGATACTGCTACTGGTATTTGTATAATTATGCTACTTGTGAAATTAGTAACTAGGATTTGTATTTACATTATTCTTTTCTTTCTCACAGTTGCCATGTTACCTAATTTTTGACAGATAATTATCGTTATATAGTAAGATCATGTTTTAAAGAATTTAATTTTTCTACCTTCCTTAAAATTTAGCAAACAAATTAAGGATTGGGGCACATTAATGGCCTATTGTGCAGCAAAATAATAAAGAAATGTTATGTTACACTATAAGTGGTATAATTTTATTTTACTCACTAAGTTTTCACTTACTCAAAATCCATTCAACCATTGTTTCTGTAAAAAAACGGGAATTTGTGGACCCTTAGTTTTGTAATAAAAATTAAATAATTGTAGGGCAGTTTACAGAACAGTAAGATTTTATTCAATATAGCTCCAATAATAGGAGGATTGAAAAGCATGAATATTGTAATTTAATTATGGTACAAATTTAATATTTAAATTTATTCTTGACTTGCTCAATATATTCAACATAAAATGCATTTAAGGATTTCTAAGTTAGTTATTTTAGTTCCATTGGTTTATATTATTTTTCAAATCGACAATAAGAAAAATATTTGCATGTGCATGAGATTTTCCTAGATTACATAGCTTCCCAATAAATAATTCTTCAGCTAATGTTTTATTTGAATGTTAATATTAATAGCTGACAGTTTGGTTGGGCTTTAGTTGAATCTAAAATTAAGTGTGTTTTCTGTTCACTGCTATTCTATGGGATATCATTTCCTCAACCTGCTGCCTTCCAGATGTGTTCAGAATGCAACGCCCAGAATTTGGGAATTCTAGAAGTTGAAGTTACAACACATCTGGAAGACACCAGATTGGAGAAGGCTGGTTTTACAGTTTGTTAAAAATTGCTCTCTTTCCTTAACTATTTACCTTTGTTGTTGTTGTTGAAGGTTAATTTTACAGTCAGAAAATTAGACTTTCAAATATTCTGGAAATGCTTAAAAAACAATTCAAAATACTCTAAGCACTCGGTGTTAATTGATATGCAACAAGATAGACTTTACTAATTAAAATCAACATGCCATGCTTCCACTACATGGACCTTTACATGAAAAAGTAGATATTACACATTTCCTTTATTGTTCAGCACAGTAATTGCATCCTTACAGGGTCGTAGGTTGGTGGCTTACAGTCCCCCTCCCCCCAGAAAGAGAATGAGCGAGCGAGGTGGTGGGGGAGAGCATTGCCACCAGCCCTGAAGACAGACAGTGGGCTTTCGTCCCTCAGACACCCCTAGAATACTAATCAGGAAAGTCAGACCCTGGAGGTCAGGGAGCAAGTCAATCATTCTAGCGATCGTCTCAGTGTGGAGGATCAAATTAGCCTGAAAAATTCAGCTGCTGGGAGGAGAGGGCGAGCAGCTGTCAGGGGCAGCAGCAAGATGCACTAATGAACCAGATGAATAGTGCAAAAGCTTGAAAATAAAAACAGGACAGTTGACATTTTTCATCTGTCAAAGCAGGAGATGCATGAAAATATAGTAGTCCTGTTTTAACTCCTTAGGGGACATTCAGCTTTTTCTGCCCAAACCCCCCCCCCCATTCATTTTTCTCTCTTTCTTTTTTAAAGCATTGAAACAGAACTACTTTTTTAATGAACCCGCTTTGTACCATGCTGAGTATCTGTGTTTATTTTGCAATTGTGCATGCATGTTGATTGGGTGGTGAAACTTTCTAATTTTGTATTTAAATTGCACTGAAATGAAAATACACTACATCAATTAGGTGGTTTCAAGATTTAACATTATGGAAGTAATACAATTGGAAATCATTGTTTTCCTTGATAGCCTCAAACCTTTAGTTTTCAGCAGTTATTATATCCAATTAATGTATGCAATTTTGATCATCTTGCTAATAATTTACCCGTAATTAGTTCTTTTTTCTTCATTTTTTTTTCTTTATTTCTGTATGCACCACTATCAAAATGAGAACCCTTTTTTGGTCGTGAAAGAGTTAACACTCTGTCTCAAAGACCACAAGACAGATGAGAGCCATTTTCAGCTTGTCCTGTCCCTGCTGAAGCTCACTGAGTAGCTCAGCATGGACTAGCGTGTTTCACACACGCTTTGCCTGTCTGGGGAATGTACACATTGTCCTTCCAAAATCAAACTTATTAGCACATATAGAAAAGGGTGACTGGCTTTGGGGCAGCACTGCACTCTGAGCAATGCTCATGCTGCTGTGGTTCAGAGTTTTAAAGGCTTTCAGAGGCAATGTGAGCATTTCTGTACAAATCTCTTGAAGCTTAGCAGTATGTTGCACTTTTTGTTTGCTTTTGAAAAGACAAGCAATAACATTTAAAATAAGCAGTGGAGACACTAATGATAATAGTTCCAACATTTTAAAAATAATTATATTAAAATATCTAGAGTTTAGGGGTAAAACCCAGATCATGTTTGGAAAATGAGCTGCTCCAATAGATTAAATAGTTTGTAAGAAAAATACTAGAAATATAATTTAAACAAACCTTACAGTGCATTTGTTTAATTTCAGAGGGATGTAACACAAACAGTTTTTTGCAGGGAATTGTATTTCTTGTCTTTGGTTGACAGCAAAGTGCTTTCTAAATAGGAAATTACCTTCTGCCTTAAAGTTAGATGTTATCTTCTCTCAATAACATAAAAAACTTAGTAAGGTGTCCAAACAGAGTACTTAATATATAATTTATTTATCAGATTCATGGTGCTTTCAGCTTCTTGATAGTTGCAGAAAATTAAGTCTTAATGGATGACTACATACATTTTAAATATATTTGAGTACATACCAGTTGATACATCCGCGATGCAGAAAACATCTTTTGATTTTGAATATAATTCTACCTGCTGATTGAAAATTTGTAATGTAGAATATCATAGCGTTCTTGCTACAAGGGGTGTCATAAGGAACATAAAATTTATCAGAGAAAAACAAAATCAGAGCTTTTGTGAGCTAGGTGAATTTTACCAGAGCTTGTCTGATTCCTGATTAAAACTTCGTGGTAAGATGTTTCTAAATGACATTTGGATTTTATATAGAGAAAATATTATATTAGTCAAAACTTATGAGTAATGTTCTGGGTATATAATAAATTTAAATCATGCAACAGGAATGTAAGCTGAGTGTAATGCTATAGAAACAATCTAATCCAATATGCTGAAGGTCAGATATGAGAAATAAGGGACTCAAACCAATAGCATAGAGAGAAAATAAGTATTTGCCTCTAATTTAAACTGGTATTTTTTAAAAAATAAAGCCAAGCTTCTGTATTTGAGTCTTCTCTGCCACACCAGTTAAAATTATACCCTTTTTTATTACTCCATACAGATGGCTGCATTGCAAAGCCCCTTCTATGGTGACAAAATGAACTTGTATTCTTTATGTAAAAAGATAGAACAATGTGATTATCCACCCCTTCCATCAGACCACTACTCAGAAGAAGTAAGTAACTTCCTTTTTGGTGGGCTGTTTGAACTTGCTTTACTTTTTAAAAGCATCCTATTTCTCCTGGGATCTGGTATGCAGTTTTCCACAGCTGGGTTGTTCTTGCACAGCTCTCATTAATTTCAGTTTGGTTTCTTCCTGGAAGCTGAACTTTCTTTAAAAAAAAAAAAACATTGTCTGCTGTTTAAATATGGCTGCAAATGTGAACCTTAAATGGGCCATGGCTTTGAAAGACCCGTTGTAATGTTCTACATAGTACTTTTTATATCTTCTACTTGTGCTTTCTTTATAGTTGCAACTCTTTGCAAGGCATTAAAATTCAAGCTATAAGGGGAAAATTGCTTAAACTGAGTGCAGTTAACCCTGAAATCCTCTTTGCTTAGATTGGTTACACCACAGTGAACAACATGAATTTCTGATTTTCAGCGATATAGAATATCTTCTGAATGATATATCCTGTGGTGTTCTTATTTACCCTTTTGAAAACATTGTGAAAGGATGAAACTCTTCCTTCAGTTTACTGTGATCTAAGTGCCTACATGGATGGGATGAAAAAGTAGTTACGCTCTGTTCAGGAGTAATGACTATAACTGTGCATAGTATTTGAGAGGGGTGCTTTATGAACACCATTAAGTGCATTGTTGCAAGTAAAAATTCCTTGAAGCATTAAAGCAACTGTGTCATCTGAAAAGCTCAGCATGGCTGTTTCAAAGACTTACCTTGGTTGTCTCAGTGGGACAACGAACAAAGCAGTATGGCTGTGCACGCAGAGGCATGGGAAGACAATGGAAGATACTGACTGTTTTGAAATACATTGGCTGTTTTAAGGTTCTGCAAACCAACCTTTTGAAATGCCTTATGTAACTCTAATAACAACTTTGGAATATGTGTGCACTGTACTGTATGTATGCTTTTTGTAACCCACAAAAAGCACACATACGAAAAAATCTTTTTATATCACCAAGTGTATTCCAAATGCAGGGTGTATTTCCAACATGATATATTTCTTCATGGACTTACATAGAGAGGAACCACCATAAACTTGTTTACTATTCTGTTTTTTGTTTTGAGTGTGCATTCAGAGATGTGCATAGAAAAGTACCACAACATGCTGCAACAAAATGGGCACCAATGTATACTTTCCATTCTTTCTCAAGCAATTTTGGTTGTTTGGACAAAAGTGGCAGAGAATGGAAATGCTTTTACTTTCTGTGACAATTAATGCAGTACATATTTGTACATCCATACGTAACTGCAGAGGAGAGGAAAAAATGCTTATATTATTTACAGATAATATGCTTATCTTATCCATCAGCATGCAGTGCCCTGGCGAGGAACAGTTATGCCCCCAAAGGCTAAAAACTTTAGGTACTTTACACACAGCAAAGAAAGACTTAATATTTCTGCTAAGGATGGATATGTTAATGTCTCTTGTAACTAATATAAAGATGACTTGTGTTTGTGTGATTCCTTTACCATGTATGGACATATTTTTAAAAAATTTAGGACACAGCAAAGTAGCAGAAAAAGTAAATTACACTGTGTAGAAATGCATATAAAATTCTCATATTTTGTAAACAGTAAAAATTAACTGTCTTTATGGAATTGGGGAATAATATAACTCCAAACTCCCAAATCTCCTTGCTTTTAGAGATTTTATTTATTAATTAAAAACTGTGGTCCATGAAGTATGGGTCTCATTAAAAATCATTGTATAATATTTGCACTTTTATTACATGGAGAATTTGACTATGAAATTCTCAGTGTATGTTTTTAAAGATGACTAGGAAGACGATGAAGTGGATGTGATGGTCTTTGCTGGTGTGTGCAGCGTTGACTTAATGTAGCTTTTCCAATTAACTGTTTTTTTTTCCAGTCGCCATTTTTAATTATGACAATTGTGCAGAATATAAATATGGCATTTCATATAGGCAATTTCAGAACCGGAGGCCTAGAAATACAGTAGGGTGTGAACAATAATGCAAAATGATAGCAAGAATGTCAGGGGCCGTTCTTTGTTGTGTCATTCATGCTGTCTTCCTTTTTCCACGAAGCGCATGAATATTTCACGTACCTGCATCCTCATCCTCTATTCTTCTTGACTAATTTTCAGACTGTCTGAATTTGCATTTCACATGGTAGCTGATTAGGAGATGCCGCGTGCAGCAGTGAAGCCTCAGCAGGCGGTTGCCATGGTGACCTTCAGCAGGATTTTAATGATGATACCACTAGTGGTTCGTTGAAGTCGGCCTGCCTGGAGGGCTACTTCACTGCAGCTAAGTGTGAAGTTGGATATATAGATTCTCAGCCAAGGGGCAGATATCAAAGTCCAGGCATGATGGAAGCCTTGGTATTCAGAAAGGGAAATAATAATAATAACAATAATTATTATTACGTAGATAGGAGAGGGGGGGATTTTAAAAATATCATGTTGCATTTCCCCCTCATTCAGAAACAAGGACTTTATTTTCACAGCCTTTGTTTTAAAATCCTTTTTCTATACAATAACATTTGGAAGAAGGAAAGCCCTGATCTATTACAGGTATGGAAATAATTTCCTGACAAAGAGAAAGATTCAGTAATAGAAGATGTATTATTACTGTGAACAGTTCATTGTTCCAAAATTGTACTTAGAACAAAACTAGGGTGTTTTTTTTATAAAGAATATAGTTATGATCCCTGTAAACTGTGCATTTTAATGTTCTATGTTTTGCACAGGCTCTGTATTACAGAAGAGACAAAAGCAGTATTGTATCTACCACAACATCCAAAAGACTTCTAGAAAATGTAGGCTAAACTTTTCTGTAGATTGAAAGGTTCACCCCAGTTGAACAGAAGAATTAAAGGATCACAGAACAAAGGAATAATACAAAGATGTGTTTTTGCATCAACCTCTGCCTATTTTTGACACAAGGCTTTTAGATGAAGAAAATAATTTTTAAAATTAAAATCTGTTTTAATGTTCTTTCATCTTTGGTAGATAGTTACAGTGCAGATTTATTCCATTTGAAAATTTTCAGCATTTGAACCACTGTATAAGTTAGTTCCCAGCATTTAAATTTAAACTTCCTAAGTGAGGATCTAGTTGGATAAAACTTTGGGTGTCCATTTTTGTTTCTTATTCTCATGTAACACTCCTCATTTCACATGCCAACACAGTATGATGTGATAATGTTACTTCTTTCCTTATCTGAAGTCCTTTCTGTGAATAGTTCCATCACTTCCTTAGACCTTGGGCTGACAACTGCATTTAATTTCTATTTTTCTTTTAATGTCTGAACAGTTAGAGTGCTTCTAATTGATGAAAAGGGAAGTCTGATTTCAGTATTCTGAAACTACCTAATTACTGTATTGGTTTCAAAGACTGCATGTTGTTTTTCATTTTTTGTTGTTAAAAATATTTGATTGGAGGAGGAAGGAGGGAAATTGACAAACCAATGTTTTACAAATGTGTGTTCTGGGCAGTAATTTTATTTATACAATTTGTCTTTCTATAGTTCTAGTAAGCTTACTGATTCTATCTAAGGCTGGCTTTGACTGCAAATGAATAGATATCATCCAAAGACTAGTATAGGGATATGTGCTAGATCTCAAGGTCAGCTCATTAATGAGAATTTGACTAGCAGAAAAATCTGACAGCCTTGTCTTCTTTATTTTTACATTAATGATGATATAGAAATAAAAAGATAATAGTAAGTTTGCTTCCCTAAAACTTTGCATTTTTCCTTTATGCTTCTTAGGCGGTTACCATAAAGGCTCCTTATTCTGGTCTTCTTGTAGCATGTGTTTGCAATCTAGATTATCTTCGTCCTTTTTATGGACATGCAGAAGTTAAAGCATGAATTCTAACTGATCATCATTTTTATTTTCTCTCCATATTTATATGGCATAGGTTAGACCTAGAATTAATTAAATATCCAACAAGTTGGGACAGAACAAGTTGTAGAGGTGTGTGTGTGAGTGTGTGTCTGTGTGGGTGCGAGGGGGGGGAACATAAGTGGTCTTGATATAAGGGATCCTTTTGGGAAATGGCCCACAACGTACATCTTCAGGGAGAGGAAGGGAAGTTCATAGAAAGGAAACATTTATGTTTCTTCCAACTTTGTATTTACATTTAGTTGACCTTCTTGCAAATGCTCAGTTCCCCATAAGGTAAAAATCTTGGTCTGTGCTTTCATTCTTCCAGCTTTTGCCTCAATTAAGATCCATTGGTCAAGAATTATGGTATGATAGGTGAATAATATGCTTTCTCTCTACAAAAAATTCCATAAAATAAAATCTGGAGACTTGCCCTTTTTTGGTATCATTTCCAACTCCAAAAAGTCTGGACATATGTCAATAAGTGGAATTAAATACTATCAATTTTATTTTCAATCCCTTTTATTTTTAGTTCCTTTAATAGAATATAGTGGCCCTCTTCAGCATTGTGGCTGAATGAACTAGAGTGCTCAATTTCCAAAACAAAATATTATACCCTATGAAATATGAATCAAATTGGAATATACTGAATGTGAACATATATAAATATACAAATAAATTTCTCCAATTTAATACTTACTACAAATCCATCCTCCATTTCTTCTTAGGGCATTTTTATATTTTGACTGTAAGTATATACAGTCTTTAAATACATTTCACAAATTGATGTTTATATGATATTGAGTTTTATTTACAATTCCTTTCTCTTTTATTTATTGTATGCAAACTGAAAGGAAAAATTGAGATCATAAAATGATACATATTTTTATAAATTAATTAATATTTAAATTAATTTAAATATTAATACTTTAATTGCACAATATTACAAGATGTTTCTTTTTATTAACTAAAATATTTAGATAATGAATCTTGTAATATTGTGCAGTTAAAATATTAATATTTAAATTAATGTTAACAGTAAGAAAATGGGAAATTTAAGTTGGTGGGTTGGTGCCTTTGAATCAGTGTTTAACACTGCTGGCTGCCTAGACTATAATACCCTGCAGTTTTCTTGGCTCTCATAAATGAGTATATGTAGTCCCTACAGTATTTTTAAATAGATTTTGGAATAGAAATTGTGGAGGCAAAATACTTGTTCAAATAAAGTAAGAAATGAGAGAGATATTTTCTAAAATAAGCCTCCAAAACAGTGTGTTAAATTTCTTAAAATCTAATATAAAGTATGTTATAAAATATCTGTTGCAAAACATTCACTTTAAAAATATGATTTCACTTCAATTGCTCCATTTCAATAAGGCTCCTTATATGTAAATCTGTCCAAATCTATTGATAGTATTTTCAAGTTTTAAATTCCATTTGTATAATCAGAGATATATTTTTAAGTACTTTCATACCGCCTCTGGATGCCATTGAAACTATAGCAAAAAAATATATATCTGATTTTGACAAAGCAGGAGCATCAGTATGGCATCAGTTCAGAATTATGCTAATTTCTTTTTATAAAGACTCCCAAGCCATCTCTGTGAGATTCAGACTAGTTAAACCAAGGTATCACTAACAAATTATGCTTCTTTCTTGCATGTGTCAAGCCAGAAATCCTACTTCCTAACAGTACTCACTAAAAGTTTCAAACAAATTCCACAGCAAAGGGCAATGAAGCCATATGGGAATTAGAAAAGTTCAATTGAGATTTTTTTGGAAAAGTAAAAAATGTATAACCTTAGGATTTTTATTAAAAATTTAACATTCAGGAAAAGAAAATGACAGAACTCAGATATATTTACTGCTTCCGTGCACAGGGCTGAAATTCCAAATTCTTCACCCTTTCTGAGAGGCTCCTGCCAACTCTCCCAGTATATGTGGGTTTTCCCATATCTGTCACTTGACAGTGCTTCTACTAAACCCTTTCATTACACTTTAATCACTATTTTATAGTGAGTAATACATTGAGTACACCCCTGCATCCTCACCAGAATGAGCATGCATGTTTGTTTCTTTTATTTGGTACTTTAACTGGAGACTTTCCATATCTTGTTGGCTGGTGTCATGGCCGGGGTACTTTAGTCCTCCTTTGTGATCTTGGAGACATTTTCTCACTGTCTCCCCTTCTCTCTCTCTTGGAGACTGACAAACCTGTTAATGTCAAAAAGAAAGTTGTCCCACCAACAGGTTCAGCTTCAGGCAAAATACTATCACTGAGCAAAGTTCACAGAACAAGTTAAGGGAAATAAGCACAGACTTCTCTAACTCCGCCCAATTCACCATTTTTGAAACCAGCCAGATACAGATGTTGCCATTAGCTCCATGTTAATAGAATAGCTTCTTGGCAGTTCTTAGAACAGTGTAGGCTTGTTCATCGTGCTACTGGACTATTGGGCAAGAAGTCATGGTCTTTTTATAGAAGTCAATCGGGTGAAATCCAGCAGGTTCTGACAGGTTCTGGAAAACCGGTAGCGGAAATTTTGAGTCGTTCAGAGAACTGGCAAATACCGCCTCTGGCTGGCCCCAGAGTGGGGTGGGAATGGAGATTTTTGCAATATCCTTCCCCCAGGAGTGGGGAGGGAATGGGGATTTTGCAGTATCCTTCTCCTGGAGTGGGGTGGGAATGGAGATTTTGCAGTATCCTTCCTCTGTCACGCCTACCAAGTCGCACCCACCAAGCCACACCACACCCACCAAGCCATGCCCACAGAACCGGTAGTAAAAAAAATTGAATTTCACCACTGAAGTCAATATGTCTTCTTATCAAGGTCATAGTGACGTTCACAGAGTACAGTGGAAATGCTCATATGCTGACAAGGTTTTCAGAGATACTACTTAGAAATATTTAAATCAAATCTACAGGCCCTTCTTCCAAATCATAGCTGTTAAAATGCATGATATCTGCCTCATTCTACTCCAATTTTAAAGAACCCAATCAACCTTTTGTTTTCAATCCCAGAATCAATATTCCAAATAGAAACAAAATTATATCATTTCTCTTCTTTCTCTTCTTTTAATCAGCACAGGTAATATTTTGATCAGAATACAGTATTAAGAATACATGTCTGTATACACGTTCCTTCCCTTCAATTTTAGCTGAAAGTTTGACTACAAACTTTACTGTACTTTACTATAGGAGATATTACTGACAAACAGTATTTTCATTAGTGAAGATTTAATAACATATACTTTAATTGTATATTTTCTCTCTTGCAACATTCACATTCTTCTTTGATATGGCTGCTTGAGGCGGTCCACAGTATATATCCTGTTTCTTTAAGCAAAGTCTTATGGAAATGCAGAAAGCATAACTGGCTTTCTGGAGCTAGCTGAACTAATTAAGGGACTCACATTCTGTAACAACCTAAGCAATAAGTTGCTCTCTTTGCTTGCTTGACTTTGAGAAGTAAGCGAAAAGCAGAGATTTGTGTTAGGCATGTTAGACTTTCAGAATCATATCCTATCTTTGCAGTGCTTGAAGAGTTACTGCTAAGAACTTTGTGGAGCCATTTAATAGGAATGGTGTTATGCTATGCATGTTTGTTCTTGACGCACTGGCAACAGTTGTTCATGCCCTTGTCACTTTTCATGCTTGGAACTACTGTAATTCAATCTACATCGGGTGGTACTTGAAAGCCACTCAAAAGCTGCAGCTGCACAGTGCAGCTGTCTGTGTGCTAATGGGTAAGAGCCTTTAAGTCTGGATAATATTTTGATGCTGGAAATACATTGGTTGCAATTTGTTTCCAGGTACAAGTCAAGGGAATTGGGCAGCATATGAAATGATGACGCTGGTTATTGTTTGTAAACTGTCTTGGGTCTAGGTAAATGACCTGTGGTGGCACTGTGGCTAGAGTGCAGTACTGTAGGCTACTTCTGCTGATCACCGGCTGCCAGCTGTTTGGTAGTTCGGGTCTCACCAGGCTCAAGATTGGCTCAGCCTTCCATTCTTCTGAGGTTGGTAAAATAAGGACCCAGATTGTTGGGGGCAAGATGCTGACTCTGTAAACCTCTTAGAAAGGGTTGTAAAGCACTGTGAAGTGGTATATAAGTCTAAGTGCTATTGCTACATCCGGTCTGTTCCAAGTATGGACTGACTGGGCTGGTATACTACTGTCTTTGTGTTTACTCTCCAGAAGATACAGGGTGGGTCCCCGAAGCGAATAGCTTCCTTGCTCTGAAATCAGTCTAAAATTAGGATCACTGTCTTCTATTGATATTCAAGAATATTATTAAATGCTCCTGGGTTATTTGATGATTTATTGATGCTGCTGAAGGAGATTGTTTTATTATTAGATTAAAATATAAATGTTTTACTTACGTCAATATATTGTAACCCTCTTATGGTCTAGGACTGCCGTAGCCTGGAAATCCTAGCAGATGAACAATTAGAAGAATGAATGCTCCTAGTTCTATATAATTTGTTTTAACAGTGCTCTCTTTTAAAGTTTTTTTTAAATTTACTGAATATGTTTTCTAATCACGAGTTACAAACTTTCCTTGCTGCTTTATTATACTGAAAACAGAAAAGGTGGGAAAAGAGTCTATTTTGTGGAAATATTTTGTATATCTAAAATAAAACTCAAGATTAGGTACTATCATCACAGATTAGACCAAAGAGCTAACAGTGTTTGTGTTATTTCGGTGGTTTTGGATAAATAGATTTTTAGCCTAAAGTACTCATTTTATGATGTTCATCTAAATCATAGCTGTCTTTCCTTTTTGCTTAGCAATTCTCAGAAGCCATGTCAATATTTCCATTCCATGTAGGCATTCCTCAGCTCTCTGCAAAGTCACTGAAAAGAGAATTCAGTTTATGTTTCCATGATAGTTTTGAGCAATTTTAAGATTAGTGAAAAATCCATCATGGAAACATCATTAAGCACCCTGCTATCTAGTGTGGCCCTTGTACAAATCTTGTACTCAGATATATAATAGGAGATTTGTACTATTAAATACAGGCTGGAGTCCTGCAAAACTATTGTTGATACTACTGTGACTATGTAGAGAATTATATAAAAGAAAATACAGTGATTTAAACAATACTGTTTTTATAAGAAAGCATAGCCTTGCTTTCTTTTTTCTTTTCTTTTCCAGCATTTATAACTTGCACTGAACTTGTAGTAGAAAGGATTCTCATAATTTTGCCTGCAGGAGTATTTTTCTTTTCTTTTTAATTCTATGCTGTTTTTCCCCCCTTTTTTTCTAGCTCCGACAACTAGTTAACATCTGCATCAACCCAGATCCAGAGAAACGACCAGATATAACCTATGTTTATGACATAGCAAAACGCATGCACGCCCACACAGCTACCAGCTAAAAGATTTGCCCCGTGGGAGGAACCAAAACAAGTTGTGAACATTTAAGCACTGAGATGCTTTCTCCGCAATTTTTTTTATTGTCTATTGCTTTAAATTTATTTATGTATCAAGGTTATATTAACACCTTTGTTACATAATTTATAAGTAAAGGCTACGTATATTTTTAAATTTTAAAGTATGAGATAGTTTTAAACATAGGTAAATTGTTGTTACAACTTAAGAGTAATTGCACTTCATTTATATACTATACAATTATTGAATAAAGGAGAAACATTTTTATATAGTTTTAACTTTTATCTAACATGTCTGAGTTGCAGGTTTTCTTAGGAAGATAACTGTTTATTTCCTACAAGCAAAATGGACATGAATATGATGAAAGCATAATTACTGAATTTATTATTCATTAGTAAATTTATTGCTGGTTTTCTTTCTACCCCTCTCCCAGGAATTTAAAAAAATATTATAAAAAAAACCAATGTATAGTTTTGCTTGTTAAAAAATATGTATTTATTCGACATTGAGCTTTAAGGCAGTTTTTGAATGTGAAAATGTGACTTTTTCAACTGGTTTTTTTTTTTTGGCATATTGTCCCACACTGGTGAAACAACGGAGAAGAAATCTGGTCAAATTGTTTGTTATCTAGTCTTGTACTGTATTATAACCCCAATCCCTAATTTTGATTTCAAGAACGGAGAGAATTTTTACAATGTCTAGGAATTAGAATCAGTCATCAGGTTCGAAGGGATGTTGAGGATCACCTGGTCCAGTTCCCTGCTTCATTTGTACCGCAGGTTGTCTCTGCTATCTCCCTAACAGATGGCTTAAATCAGAGGTATCAAAACTGGCGGCCTGCAGCTCGGATTTGTCATGTGCAGGCCACACTCACCCTGGCTCCACAAAGGCAAAAAACCTTGTGATGCATCGTGATACATCACATGACACGATCGAGTTTGACACCCATGGCTTAAATAGAAAGGAACATTTAACGACTTCCAAGCCAGCTTGTTCCACTGCCTTAAGGTTCAAGCTTGTAGCTGTAGTGTCATCATTCTCCAAATCTGTGGCTACTAAGGGTAAGCTCCAGTTATAAATTAGTTTTTCAGTATTACATTGCTAAACACAAAAAAATTAGAGGACTAGTAGAGTACTTAACTTTGGGCTGGATAGTTATGCATGTTAATTGCATTGGCATAGATGACTCCAAGAACCTAAGAGATTGGATTTAAAGGAAATTTGCTTTGGAGAACTTTGAAGAAGGATGAACCAAGGCCACTTCCCGAGTTGTGCAATGTAGTTTCTTCATAACAACATCCAGACACTGCTGAAATAATATAAAGCTGTCCTCATTACTACCACTTTGGCACTCTGATGCTTAGATGACTATAGAAAATATTACAGACGTTACAGAAGTAGTTATGTGTGGGAAAATCATCCCAAGGTATTTGAAATATGAGGGACACTTAAAATAAATGACTGTCATTTGGAAGATCCTTCAAATTGTTTACATAGAATAATGTCTCCATATGCTGTGATTCATAATGCTGAATGGAGGCCATTGTATATGTTTGTTTATGTAATTAGAAGTTAAATTATGACTGTGGTTAAGATTCATGGCAATAGGTAATCCACTGCTGGGCAGGGTTTGATATGAATTATCAATTACAGTGAAGGTATCTGCTTTGAAAATCCTTTATTAATTTAAAAGACAATAATAATTGGCTGGAAACTAAAAAAAAAAAAAGTTTTGAATTGGTGAAGCTTTTGTTAGCCTTTAGAATGACCTGAAATGAAATAGATCAATAAAGTAATAACTAGCATTCTATCATGAAAGGGAAGAATATTAATTTATAACTTCAAGAAATTATGTAGATAAAGGTCTGATTGTTTAACATGCTGAAGTTCATAAACAAGGCTTCCCTAAGATCGTGTCCCCCAGACATTACACCGCAGTTCTCAAAATCTGCACCTATCACACTGCAGACATTTTGAAATTAAAGGAACATATAAAGTTGAAATCTATAATATCATAAGAAAGAGGTAATCAAAAAAGATAAATCAAGAAAGAGGTAATCACTCTTTCTTTGTAAATATTAATATTAACAGATTAGTACCGATTCATCATATATTTCAGTCACATATATGACTATAAAACTATGTGTCATTTCATGATTACAACCAGCCCTGGTCTGCCCCCTTTGCAATGATCTAAGAAAAAAAATTAGATTCATGCCCAATTGTCTCTTAAAGGTGTAGCAGCACTGTCCATTTCTCTACTCTTGCTGTTCTATTCTAGCTAGATAACTGATTTTTTTAATCAGGATTTTTTTTTATAAAAGATCAGTGGGAATAATGAGGTCTGATGGCCACTAATTGGACAGGTATGAAACACATGCTTTTTGTTGCATCAGCTTATGTTAATGTGATTTTAAATTCTATGTCCAGTAATGTTTGGAGTATAGTTAAAACTTTAGTACAACATCTAGTCATAGAAGCCATGAGGGAGAAACTTGAAATTTTGCCTTTTCCCTTAGTGCATGTTTGACTTTGCAGGAAAATTCAAAGAAAATGAAAAATGCTAATGTCAGTAAGATTCTTTCCTCCTTTTTTTTTTTTTTTTTTTTTTTTGCTAGGGATAAAACTAACATAACATTTGTTAAAACATTGACTAAAATAATATCCCAGTCCCTTGTTCCCACCACAACATTCATGCTTTCCTATGCAAAAATATTTCAGAATTCTGTATTTTTTTCCCCATTGAAGAGAAGAAGCTGTAGCATTTAAAATAGCATAATCTTTATGTGGCCTTCTGGCATGCATATTTGAAAAAAAGGTTTACTGAATTCACTCCAAGTATGTATCACTAATTGTGTGTGGGTGTGTATGTGTACACACACGTGCATGACTACCTTACACAAAACACTTTGGACAGTTGTTTCTAACAAATGTTGGGAATAATCATGACATTAATTCCAATGTAAACCAAAGACATATTTGTAAAACTATCTGATATTGATAAAAATATGTGGACCGAGTATGTAAATTAATTACATGTATGAAAAAGGTACAGGTTCCATATACTGTATCTGCTGTTAGCATCAGATATAGTGGATTTTAAGCCTTGTTAAAAAGTGCAAGCTTGCTCCAATCCCACTACATACCAGCAAAACCAAGATCAAGATAATCCTTAAATTATCTTTAAATCATGATCAAAATAATTTTTCTCCTCTCTAGTACCATCCCTTTCACAAGAATCAAGACACTGTGCATTGACACAGAAATACCATTAATGCATTGCAGTAAATAGTGATGTTCCATCCAGAACATTGATATACCGAGAAGAGTTATCTCCAAACGTGGGACTACAGTAAGGACATGCTTATTGTCCACAGTAAGCATGCTTAGTGGCCATATTAGGGAATCTGGGGAGGCAAATCTCTGTAGACTAGATATTCAAGTCCAGCAGTGTAGCAACTTCCAAAGCCATCTTTGGATCATAATACTTTGCTAAGGGAAGGACCCATCAAACAATGCTAGAGCAATGCTGCAGCCATTAAATTGTAGTCTCTTGAACTATTAATGATGCTTTGGAATATAAAATAGATTTCTTAATATTTTGATTTGACTAGCAGAGGTATGTGTTGGCAACCACCTGTTTGATCTCACCGAAATAATGGAAAGTTGCATAAGAGGCCAAAAAGAACTCAAGTTCCTGACAGCATAAGGTAAGAGAATGGCAACTGGGCCATTTCTGCCTCTGAACCTTCATTCTTGGCAGATCAAGTTCTAGTTCAAGACCAACAGGGCTCTCTAGCAAGATCTAGAAGAATAACATACTCAAGTTTTCTTCATCATTGCATTACTACATCTGGGTTGCATATATCTGGAAATTACCAGAAGGCAGCAAAGAGCATTTTTCTGTATTGTCTAGTAATGTTGATTTTTACAGCAGAAATCGGGTAGCCGAACTCTGTCCACGCTAAACTGTTTTAGATACTTAGCAATTGCTAAGTAACAAATGCCTTAATTTTTCTTCTGCACTATAAGAAAATACATATATTTTTAGATTCCATATATGGGTACTGTTAATACATTTGCTGTGTTTATTTTAACCAAGCTGTTTGCTTCTTTGAAATAAATGTATTCTGTATACTAAACAAAACCGAACATAATATGCATAGTTTTATATTCAGTAATATTGTAATATTTCTGGCTTTATGAATATTTGTGTTGTGTTTGATTTCTAAATATACTCTTGCACAATGATTACTCAGTGTTCAGAATTTTATGTTGTACAATATCTTAATATAAAGAACATAGATAAAATATATGGTAAAATAAACCCACCTAAATTTATTTTCTGTTGAATCTGCCTATTTATTAGAATGCTGATGTTGATGTGGTGAAGATGTGAAAATTAAGCATTTTTATTTGCAGTTTTTAGAGAATAGGTTGTGTTCTCCTAAGGTTCACTCTTAACCAAAATATAATATACCAACCCCTTGCATGTTTAAATTTCTGTTTCCATAATCATAAGAGTTACTAAATATTAATGCTACATTTCTCTAGCACAAGAAAATAATTTTTGCATGCAGTTCTGTACACTGAAAAATACATATAGTGGAACAGGAAAGCGAAGCTGCCTCATGCATCATATACAGTACATGCATGCTGTCATTTACATATCCTCTATACATTATACTAGTCTATGGATTTGTATTCCTGTTTGTGCTGTAATCATTCAGCATTGTAAACTACATCAATATATTTTTAATTGATTACACAGTCTTGCTAAGAGATGCTATGGCTCAATGATTAATGACACTGCTTGACAGCTGGAAAGCTGACAGCCTGGGTTCAAGACCGGTGCGGGAACTTTGGAGTATAGTCATGCTCCTCAGAGTATAGTCATGCTGGCCACATGACCACTGAAATGGAGATGAGCACCACCCCCTAGTGTCAGACATGACTGGAAGGGGGAAACCTTTACCTTTATACAATATTGTTATTAATAAATGATGATTGGTTTCTTGCCACATTAGAAATGCTCCACAATACGCACCTTCCTGTCAACATTGCTGCTGCCGCTGCCGCCACTACTATTACACTACTACTTTTTTCATACATTCCGTGCTAGTGATTTCAACAGGATATTATGAACACATTGGCTTCCATCTGAACTGTCCCAAAGGAAGTAATAAATGAAAATTGTTCCATTTGCTGAGTAAACCTGTACACAGTCTTCCAATTGTTTTCCTGTCTTATGTAGATTTTCAGACACTTCCCTTTACAACTTTGCAACATTATAAAGTTTTTAAGTTGGTTGTTACGTAGGATTCCAGGAAAATTAGTTTCAAAGGATAAAGTAGAGAACTGCCCCAACATTCTGGGATCTAAAAGGCATTCAGTGAATATGTCCTTGGTTGCAAATTTCAGTGGATTTGGCTAAGAAAAATGTAGGTATAGATTAAAAAAATATCTTCCTATCACCTTATCAGCATAACTTCAGAAGAACAGCATGGCTCCAAAAAGAACTTTCCTAACAATTTGGCAAACTACACATTTTGCTCATACACAAGAACTCTCACCTTTATTTTCAAGTGATGTTTGCTGTGTCACACTGCTATTTTTAAAAGAGCATAGTTCTACATGCACTGTTTTCTGGAATTCTATTTATCTTTGCATGTGATGGTGTTTAATTATTTCTCCCCAATAACTTTGTATAAATATTTGCCAGCTAAGGATGTTTTTTAAACCCAAATAATTTTAATTGACTGTTGGGTCAGAGGGAAGAGTTGAGTCCTTTACTACCCTTTTTTGGGTTGTCCTGATCCAATTTATTATTCTCTTATCATTTTTTAATGGAAAAGGGTGGGAAGCTAATTAAATTATAAAAACATTCAAATGAGGTCAAGTTAAGTTTAGAGTTCTGTAACAGGAACCAATAAGACCAGAGCAAAAATACTGGCTGCTAGTAATTAAAGATTTTAAGTAGGGACTTTTTTACACAGAACAGATTATTTCCAGATTACTTTTTGGATTTACATTTTAAAATTAACTTTGTCTTAATTTGAAAACCTTCCTTAATGGGCCTTCCAAACCACAGTCAGATCTTACGGAGAGGTTTCATCGCATCTAATTATGAAGAAACAGAACTGTTCTAAAAGCAACAACATCATACCTGTTTTCTAATATATAGCTCATTTACATTCATTTTCTAACTCTTCACCATTTGCAAATAAGCATACCATTTGGCTTTCATATATGTGTGAATTCAAAGACGGACTCTGGGAGGTGTATAATATTACTTTAGTCAGTGAGAATTCCATCAGAAATATTTTCTTTTAAGTAAACAGCAATAGAGATTTTAAAAAAAATATTTGATATTTTTAACATGTAATATGAGCAGTAGTTAAAGCACAGTATTGCAGGCAAACTCTGCCCACAGTGTGAGTTCAATCTTGAGAGGCGTGAGGTTGACTCAACTTTCTATCCTTCTGAGGTTGGTAAAATGAGGACCCAGATTGTTGGGGGCAATATGCTGACTCTGTAAACCGCTTAGAGAGGGCTGTAAAGCATTATGGAGTGGTATATAAGTCTAAGTGCTATTGCTATCAGTATTAGAATACAGGTAGTCCACAACTTACAACAGTTCATTTAGTGACCATTCAAAGTTACAGTGTCACTGAAAAACTCACTTAAGAGCATTACCTGTATTCAGAAATTTCTTGCAGTGCTAATTAACTTGGGGTCTTTTCATCATCACTATTTCTACAGAATAAACAAAAGTTCTAGATAACAACTGTCACTCATAAACACACACACACACACACACACACACACGGCTGTTCCTACAGTCTGCCATCTTCCAACTTCATATGTAATACATAAACTGAGTGTAAATGAGCTATATATTATATGGGTCATAAAATCAACAGATTATAAATTTACTGGCTATGGAAAATAAAATAAGCAGCTATATCAACTCTTGTCTTGCATTTTAGTTTGCTGTCCTTCAGATGACCTGAGAGTTTCTCCTTTAACTGCTGCAGGCTTGATGCCCAATTGTCTTATGCACATAATGCGATTTCTTCATAAATCTCTTTGGTAGGAAAAAAAAATGAAGCAATTATTTGGATTCAACGGTTGTTTCTATTGGAATTGGTGTTAACTTACAGCTGTTAGCAGACTTATGACCCAGTCTAAGCTTCATTAAGTAGAGTCCTGCTGATAGAGGCTATTGATCCAATAGCTAGCACAGGTGTACTATGCCATAATATGTTCTTCTTCCACTATGCTTTACTTCCCTCTAGGGATAACCAATCGGAGGAATTGACCTGTTTGCCCAGAATGTGGAGAAACTAATGTGCAGTTTGATTTCAATTGTCAGTCTGATTGCTAGCCTTGTAAATCAAATCTCAATTCTGCAAGGATTGCCACTTCTGCAGTTCTTTGTTACATATAACTAATAGGAAAGGTGGCCTAATTAACAACTGCAGTATCGCTAACACTAAATAAATCAAAAATTCATCTGCAAATGTCCTGTCTGTGCCCTATCTACTGTAGGAATAAGAAATGTTCCATGTGATCTCCCAAAACATTGTGATTTAGAATGACCAGTGGAAAATACAGATTAACAGAGTTGGAAGGGACCTTGTAGGTCATCTGGTCCAACCTCCCGCCCAAGCAGGAGACCCTACACCATTTCTGACAAATGGCAGTCCACTCTCTTCTTGAAAGCCTCCAGTGATGAAGCTCCCACAACTTTCGAAGGCAAGGTGTTCCATTGGTTGATAGTTCTCACTGTCAGAAAAATTCTCCTTATTTCTAGGTTGAATTTCTCCTTGATTAGTTTCCATCCATTATTCCTTGTCTGGCCTTCAGGTGCCTTGGAAAATACATGGTTTTGCAATTAAAATTTTTAAAAAATTAAATCAAATTTTAAAAAATAACATATTCCAAAACAAGCATTTATTGTTATACCTGCCTGACTATGTAGAGCAGGAAGGACCTAAATGAGATATATTTCTATACAGAAGTAGGTTCTAGTGATTCCAGTAAAACATGACACCAAGAATGGTGCCAAGAAGTGTACCAAGTGTACCAAGAAGGTACACTTAAGCTGTATCATCAAAGTTTTACTTTTCAGTTCATTGAAGCCTATTCAAACAAAAAGACATGTGGAGATGAGGCTAATAAAGCTTCATATACTGTATATCCATCCATTTTTCACATTTTAGATCTATATAATGGCCTGCTAATGGCTTTGAGAGGGATTCTATTTTCTTACGTGACCTCTTCTTTATAAACGCATCTAAGCCCTTCTAAAATAGGCTAAGGCAAAATGTTGCATGTAGAATGTCTCTATGAGTGTAACTCCCTTTTAGATATGGATTACAAATCAGTGAGTGAACTGAAAATGTGGGAAAGGAACTGGACATACCTATAAGGTTTGCTAGCTTCAAAATGATTGGAAGCGGAGTTTTAGATCATAAGCATCTCTGTGTTATTCACTAAAGCATATCTTTATCAGATTTCTGCATGAGCAGCTTTCTTAAAGCAATGGTATGTTTTCATGCAGAAATTTTTTTTTAAAAGATGTGACTGCTTTAATTAGTAGCAGAGAAGTGCTGAAGCACTTTTTCCACATTATGTTTGGAGCAAGAACAGCTTCAATATCTATAATGATTATAACATGTGCCCATAACCTTTGACCTGTGGCAGAAGACTAATGGGGAAAGGCTCTTCAAAGTAATGAATCTTGCTTATGGAACTGCATTCCCCAATGCCATCTGTTTAATGCATATTTGTACTTTTCAAAACTCAGTTACTGTATGGCACAAGTGAAGAGGGATAGGTCTCAGTGATCTGAAAGACAGCAAGATACATTACAATTATCCAAGAATTCTACATACTGATTTATTTCAAGCTCACATCCTAAAATTAAATTGGACAGTTAATTTCCAGTACTTCTACATATTTCTGAGTATGCAATATATATGCATATGTATTTACTTTTAATACTGTATACAGTTCTTTCTGTAGAACATTAGATTTTTTTGAGAGAGCAGTAAAATTGCACTTTTCAGAGATCACAATTATTCCCTTTTTATATTCAGTATAATTTCATACATTGGCAAAGTCAAAATACAGTGTGTGGTTCTTGACATTTAATCTATTAAAGAGTCCTTGGAGATGCATTGAAAATTATGTATATGATAGGATGACTATTCTTTTTAGAAAACATCTTGCCATTATTTTTACTCCGTAACAGGACATTAAAAAACACCCGCTTCATTGTGTCCTATTTTAAAACATTTCCCAAGTAATTGTTAAATAGAGAGGCATAATACATC